GCGGAGAAGAAGTGAAGACGGCCACCTTAACAAAGACAACGACCCCTGGTGTGGACGGCATCACAACACGCCTCCTCCAGGCATGCTGGGATGTCATCTCGGAACCGGTCAGGCAGCTATTCCAGTCCTGTATGCGGGCCGGCCACTTTCCTCTGCCCTTCCGCAGAGCTGAGGTGGTCATGATCCAGAAGGCCGGCAGGGATGCCTCCAAGCCCGGGTCCTGGCGGCCGATCGCGCTCCTCTCGTGCCTGGGCAAGGGACTAGAGCGACTGATAGCCAGAAGATGGCGTCCCTGGCGATTGTCGAGCGCATCATCAGTCCGCAACAGATCGGGGCTCTACAAGGCAGGTCAGCCGTCGATCTGACGACCTGCCTCACCCACGACATCGAGATGGCCCTCCTAAAAGGACTCACGGCGACACTTCTGACTAGGACGTAAAAGGGGCGTTCGACTCCGTCCTTCGGAACCGGCTCGTCATTAGACTGCGTCAGCAGGGATGGCCACATGGCCTGACCAGACTGATCTTTAGCTTCTGCTGCAACCGCACCGCTAGAGTCCGACTGGAAGAAAGCACAACGGAGTACTTCCCGCTGTCATGCGGGCTGCCTCAGGGGTCACCACTATCTCCCATTGCCTTTCTGCTCTACATCGCAGAGATACTTGAAGACGACCCGAACGCGCGATTCGGGTACGCGGACGACATCGCCACTCTGGCCATCAGCCCCTCCCTGGAGAGCAACGTCGCAATACTCAACCGAAGCGCAGCCGGCATTCTCAGATGGGGCTTGGAGAACAAGGTCTCCTTTGACCCGAGCAAGTGCGAGGTCATCCACTTTACTAGGAAGCACGGCCAGCCAGCGGAGCTGCCAGAGGTCCGGGCGGGGGATTTGGTGGTCAAGGCCTCGACGAAACCTGTACGCTGGCTGGGTGTCTGGTTCGACAAGAGACTGTCCTTCCGGCACCATGTCGACGCAAAAGTAGCTGCAGCAAAGAGGGCAGCTCAACATCTGAGACAGCTTACGAACACAAAGAGGGGACTCCCAGCGGCCGCCGTGCGAAAAGCCGTCGTCTCCTGCGTACTGCCGATCGCGCTCTTCGGCGCCGAAACATGGTACGCAGGTATCACGAAGCCGGCTTCGAGACGCCAAGCGGAGACAGACACGAATCCGCCTCTCCAAGGAAGACCCGTCAACACAGGCCAAAAGGGGCTCGTGCAGAAGATCGACAGCGTCATTACAGCGGCAGCAAGGGCCGTTCTGCCTGTCTGGAGGACAACGCCAACCAGTAGCCTCCTCCGAGACGCCGGCTTACCGTCAGCCAAAGTCGCCTTAGAGGGCGTCCGCTTACGGGCCGCAGTCCGACTACAGAGGATTGATCGCCGACACCCGCTAGTCGCGCGGCTCTCCCAGCAGGGACAGCAACAGACGAGACTACAACGGACGGCTGAACTTCTGCCAAGATGCGGAAGACCAGCGTTCCTTCAATCACAGTACCTGCCAAGCTCACAGGATCAGATAGTAGTTCAATGCAAAGAAGAGGCTGCGAAAGCTTTCGAGCGCTGGCTAAAGACAGTACCGGAAAGCCATATGATCGTCTTCTCGGACGGCTCCAGGGCGACGAACGGAGCCGTGGGGTACGGCTTCGTCATCTACCGAGACTCCAAACGCATAGCACAAGGGTGCGGCCGACTCGGACTAGCAGAAGTGTTCGACGCCGAGGTCGAAGGGGCGCGAACCGGCCTCAGAAGGGCTCTGCTCACCAATCGCGGTCATCCAATCCACATATGTATCGACAACACCAGCGTTATACAAGGCATCCGCGGCAAGGCGCCGGACTCGTCACAAGACGCGTTCCTCGAAATCCAAGAAGCGGCCAGGATATTTGATATACGGACGCACTGGTCCCCGGGACACCAGGGCATCGAAGGAAACGAGGCCGCGGACCGGCTGGCCAAAGAAGGAACGACACTGCCGGCGCGGATGGGTCAAATGGCAACACTAGCGGGCATCAAGCGGCTTGCAAGGGAAAAATTACAAAGCCAGCACAGGAGATGGTGGTATAAAGAGCGAAGGCCGCGGTACGCGGACTTGGGGCTTGAGGCAGCTCTGTCCAGCCCTCCTGAACTGGCCTTGCCGCGGGCTACGTTACATCACCTGCTGGCGGCACGATCGGGTCACGGGGACTTCGAGCAATATCACCGACGTTTCAACCACGACGACGCTCTAATGATGTGCTCTTGTGGAGAGGCGAAAGACGTGGACCACCTGGTCTACTGTCGACTAACGCTGGCGAGGAGGCAACGGTGGCCGACCCTCCACTCTCGCAGTATGCCCGAGCCCATAGGCCCTATGGGATCTCTCGAGGCCTACTTCAAGAGATTAATCACCGACCCACGAGGCTTCGAGGCCTTTCTCCGCGTGACGGACTTCTTCCAGAAGATCTGTCTGCGGTAGCAGCATCCACACCTACGTAGATGTGAGTGCGGACTACAAAGAACCTCCCGATTCCAAGGGACGATTTGGGAAAGAATGAAACTGGGGCACCAGCGGGAACCGGGGACAGACAGAACGCGTAGTGGCCACAAGGCATGATTTGGAGGACGATGTAAAGAGACGACGTACTGTAGAGTAGGTAGCCTTGGCTCACGGCCCTCCACGCCATATACCCTTCGGGAGGTCTGCGGTAAGGGCTCTAGCCCGGCCGCCACGGCGTTAAATACAACAACAACAACAACAATCGTGGCAAACATTCCTTGCACCCTCTCGTTGTATCCCCAAGCTCACGCTTGTTCCTTCGCGCTTCCAATTGATCCTGAGATCGCTTCCGATACGGGTCCAAGTGTAGATACAAAGCCGGCTCCGGTGTCCGGTACCGACGCGTCGGTTCCGAAATACTCCAGCGAATAGGCGGTCACCCAAGCTCCACGTTGACTGAAAAACAATAGATGTCAACAAAGTTCCTGTGCTGAGATGACATAGCATTTGTTACACACCACAATTGTTGGTTCTGTAGTCATAACAACTATGGAAATGCACTGATCGATACGTGAATACAACTCATAGCTGAAATGACTTGAATGGCAGTGGGATATTTGGGTACATTGGACTTATTATTCCAAATGTGGCTTATTGAAGTGAATGACTTTAACTTCGCGTATTACAATCCTCCTCGGTTTGAAACTCCACAGTTCTCCACCATCTCCGTCTTAACCTTTAGGAAATAGTTGATCAAAAGAACGAACTAAAGCTACAACCCGCAAGTATCGACTTCCAGTAACGTAACAACATTCCCTTCTCCAGCCATCTACAAGCTCTTTGTGCCGAAGGTTCTTCCCTTTCCATAACTTTTGTCGCAACACAATGCACTTAGATATTCATGTAGGCAGCCATACCACCGAAGAGGGCAGCAGCCCCGACAGCAGCGGTGCGCATGGGACCAGCTTCAGTACTGGAGGAAGTAGAACGGACACCACCACCGTTGTTGGCACCAGTCTCAGTGGCAAGCGGGGCAGTAGAAGTGGGGCCGGTGATGCCGCTGGTGAAGGGGTTGCTGCCGTCGGTGGCGGTGCCAGCGCCAGTGTACGCGGGCATGCGGGTAGAAGCGGTGGTGTCAGGCTCCACGGAAGTGTTGTTGGGGTTCAAGACACTGGTAATGGTCAGAGATTGATACGTTGGAGTATGACTTGAAGACTTACTTGTCAATGACATGAACCACACCATTGGCGACGAGGACGTTGGGAATGAGAACCTCGGCCTCGTTGACGTAGACAGTCTCATTGATGACACGAATAGTAACATTTCCGCCGTTGAGGGTGGTCAATGAAGTGTTGGTGATATCAGGGCTGTACAAGACAGCGCCGGCGACGACGTGGTACTGGAGGATGCTGGGTAGCGCGGCGGTCAGGTTGGCGGTTAGATTTCCAATGGAGCGGAAGGCCTCGTTGTTGGGGATGAAGATTGTCAAATCCTTGGCGGCGGTGAGAGCAGGGCCGACGTTTGCGGCTTGGACAGCGCCCAAAGCAGCAGTGAGGTTGGCTGCCTGAAGAGTGGCGGGAATCGGCTGGGGAACGCTCAAGACCTTGTCAATGATGTGAATTGTGCCAGCGGTGAAGTTGACGTTGCCGGCCGTGACGGTCGAGTTTTCTCTCAGGGCAGAGTAGAAGGTGACGTTGCCTCCTACAGTCTGAGCCTGGACGCGCTGCCCGCCAGTGATATTGGTGTAGGTCTCGTTGGACAGCAAAGTGGGAATAAATTGCGGCTCTTCGGTGAAGTTGGAGGCGTAATAGGTGCCGTTCAGGACGTGATACTGAAGAATTGCGGCGACGAGGCCGGGGTTGGTCGCAGCACCCTGGGCACCAGGGCTTGCGAGGAATGCCTCGAGAGCCGCATTGCTGGGTGCCAGGATGGTGATGTTTTGTGCCTGGGAGAGAGCTTCGACAAGAGCCGGCTGGGTACCGAGAAGCGCTGTGACACATTAGAGAACTGCATCCAAGAAGGGCAAATCATGAAGAAAGGAACCGCTTACCTGTGAGAGATGACAAGCTCGAGTTCTGAGAAGCCAGAGCTGCCGTCAAGCTTTGCGTGCTTTGGGCAAGAGCAGTGCTGGCCAAAGCCAGGGGAAGAATGTTTTTGACCTGCATGATATCTATTTGGTATACAAAGACCTGGAACTAACGTGTCTGAAAAGGATGGGTATCAAGGCTACTATTAATTGAAACTGATCGGGACGGAATGGCGAAGGAATTTTAGAGGCGGAGATGGGAGCATTTAAGGTAATGTGGGAGCTCCTCGTCAGGAGTCTACACGAATCATGCCAAACACCTTGGTGAGCTCAGCCCAAGAGTGATCAAACCAATCGCGTCGTCGTAGGTTACCAGATCGAGCCGAATCAAGCTTGTTGCCCAGGCTGGGTGAAGAACTAGGAGGCCTGCCGGGCTGCTCGTCCCCAGACAAGGGTCTTGGTCGACATCACGACCGCGCCAGGGAGTGGGACATTGAACTGGACCGGGGCAGACATGCAGAACGGGGGGTGGAGAAGCCTCCTTAGCTCGCGAAAGAGCACGACGCTGGCAGACGACCAATAAGCTGTTCAACAGGATCGCCAGCCGGGTGCCAAGTCGATCGTGGAGTGGTTTTTAGCCGGCGTATACGCCAAGGGGGGAACTTGCACTGACCCAGCAATGATTGAAGCTCGACAACATGGCAACCATGGTCCAACTCGCCTGCTCGCGTACCAGCTACTTTGCCAGTGCGCTCATTGTCTTGCTTACAAGTCGAAAGATCTTCCAAGAGCCATTGCTAGTAGGAGCTGCAGTCGTGCAGGCGTAGACTACTAAGCCATACGGACCCCGTGATGGAAAATGGAGAGGTATTTCTCGTTCGAACATGCGATTCCGAGTCCCTTTGCGGTCAGATTAGCATTCTGCCGACTGATTTCACGAAGCTACCAGAAAAATGCGGAATGCCAGGGAACCGCCTGGCTACTAGAAGCTTGGGGGATTGGAGTCAAGGACGCCATTGACAGCAAGTTGTGTCTTGGAAGTTGCGTAAGCCTGCGCCCGACTGGCGCAGCTTGGGTGAGGGAGGAGACAGAAAAAGTCGATGTCGTCAGGATAGACCGCTTAGCGCCATTGAAGACGGGAGAGACTCCGATGGCGCCGAACAAGCGAGCCGTGCAATGCCGGTTGGTATTCCTGCCTCATATGTATGCCAGCGGGCTGGCAACATGGAAATCCTTGTTCTTAGTCATGACTACCTTTATTACAGCTTATAATAGTATGAACCGCGCGAAACCGAGCCTAGAGATATTCAAGGGCATGGTTATGGTAAGGCACTCGTCTCATGCTTTGGCATACTGTAACCGTAGTCTGTCATTGAACCTAGACCAGGATCGTCGAAAGGCATCTTTCCATCGTCAACCACTTCTACATGTCTTGTCAAGACGAGACAGAATTAATTTGAATGAGAAGGGGGAAAGAGGTGCACTATTGTGTAGCCCTGCAGCCGCTTCCCCGCAATATCTAGGAAGAAAGCGACCCCAATGCAGGGCCAGTCGGGCCATTCCCATTCTCCCCTTGGCTTCGCTCTAGGAAGTGTCTCGTCTCCATGGGGTGCCAGTTGTTTGGTGAGGTGTTCCGGTTAGACCCCAAATTCATTGTGACAAGTATCCGCGATCGGTTTAGTGCCATTGTGAAAGCGTGGCCAAGCAAGCGACATGGGGGAAGCTCCTTGGAACCCAAGAGCTCTAAAAGCCGGCTGTGCCGACTCCAACACATTGCGCTATAACCATTGACGATAGTATCTTGGAAACGGTGCGTCATCGATTCACTTGACAGATCGCAACTTTGGCGCTTATTCCATAAAGTGACCCAATGGCGCATTCCTCTCGCTGGGAACCGTTGCTTGGCGGTTGCACTTTCTCTAGCTATACCCATGTCAAGTCGTCTTGAATGCAATAGAGTTGGCCACGTTGAGGCCTCCGCTTATGTCTAGATGAACCACTTCTCGGTGATTGTTCCCCGACCTGCCCAAAAACGAGGGGCGCACGCTGGCGCGTTTCGAATTCGGGGATTTGTCAAGTCTGGGCATCGCCACGTTGAGGTTCACCATCGCAAGAAGCGCCGGGGGTCGTGAGGAAAATATTGGGTGTCTCTTCGTAAAGCCGCATTAGGCCAAGTCGTCTGTCCCGCCATCCTCCATGGCCTTGGCGAATCTTCGCCTGCACACCCGACGCCATTGCGCCTCGTGTATGCGAATTTGCGCGCGAAGCCTCCTCGCAACAGCTTGTTATCCGTATGCCTCGGACTTAACCCAACGCTGGACCAAATACGTCGTCACCTTCGGTAACCTTTCGTCGCTTGGCATCCCGCGCCTCGTTTCCGCCAAGCACTCCGCCGTTACCGCCGAACAAGGACCCGTCTCCTTCAGCTTTCGGCTTCCCCGTATTCTTCTGCGAAGCCAACTCTCGTCGAGCCTTTTGTAGGGCCACAAGATCTGCACGATCCGGATCTCTGCACCTTTTCAGTTTTCGTATCAAAGGCTTGATCACCTTGGTCGCCTCAACCTATCCCTTTGTTAGTCTCACCAAAACTCGAGTAAGGCAACCTCCGGGGTTGACATACAGTTCCCCAGTATTCGTCCAATCTCTCGGGCTGTTCAGTCGCCAGTAGCTCCCTACACGCCTCGATTGTTGCCATGACCTTATCCCGTATCTCGTGTCCAGTGAGGTCCTTCTCGCCTTCATTCGAGGTTCCGCTCTGAGTGGGACCAAAGGCGCTTTGAACGAGTTTCTCGGCCAGCCCTCGATCAGCTAAAGAGAGCGCAGCAAGCATGATCTGGCTCGGGGTATAGTGGAAATACGCGTCTGTGACGAGGGAACTGAACTTGAGGAAAGCGCGAGCACGGAAATGGGCGGCATCGATTCGACTTTTCTATACATCTCGTCAGAAGAGTTCAGCGTTCGGGTACCGGGTTCACAGCCTACCTCAAGGTCGGCATGCCGCCGAAGTTCCAGGATAGCTCCTTCCAAGGCGCGGAACGGATGCCTCACATCGAAAGCGAACCGGACTCCTTGACACAGCAAGAACTCTCCTGCTAGTATCTCTTCTTCGGTCGTGTTGGGAAACTTGTCGGCCAATTTAGCTAGGCGGGTATACAGTCCCTCAGCCTTGCTTCCGAAGAACAGGCAGGTCTTCAGAATATCCTGAGGGGGGTATGTCATGATTGAGTTCGTGACGTAGAATCGACGCAGGAAAACGGTCGCAGTCGCTCTAACCTCTGTTGGAAGTCCACAGAAGTCCGCCGCTCGAATCAATTCAACGGTGAAAAACTTGAGCAACTGGGTCTCCTCGGAAGGTGTCAAGAATTCAGGCATCGACTCGGCCGCATCTAGATCCACGCGTTTCGTTTCCACGAGACGGCTGATGATGTTTGTTTTCGCCAGGGAGTTCGTCTGTTCTCGCAGTTCCGCTAACTTGGACGGGGAAAAAGACCACAGTCGATACTGCGTCGAGAGTCGGTATCGCGCATCTTCTGTTGCCATCGTGGCAAACTGACATGTTGCGAGCGATCAAATTGAGTGTACTTTGAAATCCGGACGTGAGGAGGACGAAGGATATGTTGACGCGCGATGTGAACAGAGTAGCAATCACCCAGGTTTCGTATTGAGGCGACGTTCGTTGTGTTGTATGTCGTCGAATCGAGAGGTGGAAATTGGCCGATTCAATATCAGGACCCCAGATCAAATGGCGGGAACAAAGCCCGTTCACCTTATCGAAGCCGATAAGCTGAGCTCCGCTGGCAGTCAGGCAGGCACCGGGGAGCTCGAGCCACAGACGACGCACGTGATGTGGCTCAGCCGACATTTCTTGTTCCTCGGCGTTGTGGCTTGATCAACTTGTGGCATTCTTACATCCATTATCGGGATATAAGCTACAGTAATCCGTACAGAAACACCAAACACAAAGGGCCGGACATTGATTCAGAAAGTGGGTTTAAATTTTCATCGTTCTATTCTGCCAGTCATTTTTGCCTGGCAAAGATGCAGGTCGTAGTATGGAACATCACCTCTTGGCGACGGCCAAGCTCTATTGAACCGGTCTGAGGACCTGGACCTCACTCACCATGAACCACTTCATAGTGCAAATATCCACTACGCTTCAGGTACTCAGGATACTGACTACAGCAAGTTTACTGCCAAGCAACGAAGAGGATAGAAACAGAATCCATGCTCGGTATCTGGAGAATCGAACCCGGCCATCTCTAATCGATACATTCTTCTTGTCAGAAGCTATGCGACGAGGGAACCAACAGTTGCAGATCCAGCCCACGAACATTAACACGCCAAAACGCCCTGCTCCTATCGGGAGCTCGTACACCCCAGCACGGAATGAACAGTCTATTGATGCAAAAGGACTCAAGGCAAGCATCGCACTTCGCTACGCCCGCCCAAGGCCGTCTTCGAAAGAAGATTCAAAAAGCGGTGTATATCTAGTACCCAACCTCCCGCTTGGCGGGAACTGGGGGCGCCGGCTTCTTGGCTCGGCTCGGGGGAGGAGGCGGAGGTGCTTTCTTGGCTTGAAGGTTGCTTGTGCTTCGGGTCAAGCTGCTTCCCATGCTAGTAGCCGGGCTTGCACTTCGGTCATTCCATTCCGGACTGCCGCTGCCACTTACTGTTGTGTGGTCATCGTCGGCAAACACATCGCTAGCCATTGGTCTGCCGGTAGGTCTCAAATTTCCACGCAGAGATCCAATGTGAGAAACAGCAGGCACTGGCGGAGTAGCAGCCATAGATCGTCGATCGGTCGCAGCTGGCCCCTGGAACGTCTGAGACCTACTGATAGACGGCCTCGGGGTTGTGTCGGCCGACGCGCCAAATTTGACCTCGGATCGTTGGGAGCGGATGGGCATGCGAACAGGCATTGGTTCCGGTTCCTCCTCGACCTGATTGTTGCGGCCCGAGTAGTCGTTGAACGAACGGGCCGTGTTGGACCGCCCGCGACCGTTTGCGTAGCGACGATCGGTTGGTGACGGAGGCGCATTACCGCCCGCCCAGTTCTGGCGCAGTCGGCGAAGCTCTTCTGCGCAGCGTTCGTGGTAGTTTAATTCGGCGTCCAGCAGGCTAGTCAGGTCCCGAACGTTGTCGGTCTCTGCATCCTTTATGTCGGACATGCGTCTCATGACATCTTCGCCAGCTTCTTCGTACTTTGCGCGGGCAGTACGGAGCTCTTCCTCGAGGCGGAAATCCTCGCGCTTCGTTTTTTGCATTTTACTGATAGCTGCATCGTAGGCCAATCGGCGCGACTCGAGCTTCTTCCGTGCGGCCTGGCGGAGAGTGTGTCAGATGGGATGGGCTGAAACCACGTGTGGACGAGCCATGACGTCGGTACGTACCTGGTACTCTTTCATCATAGCCAAAGATCTTTCGACCGAGACAAGCCACTTATCGGTAACTTCTGAGGCGTAGCTTTCCTGAATACCGGCGAGACGTTCGTTGGTTCGACCGAGAGCTGTGCAGTCTGTGGTTAGCGATGCTTCGCAAGGCAGTGCATAGGAACGTCAGCCCAACTTACAGAGCAGACAGGCGCCAAATTCGGAGTCGGGCTCGAATTCCTCGCCATGAGAAATCATCATGCGACCGACAAAGGCAATTGGAAGGCCTTTCTCCTTGTCATCGAAGGCCTCGCCACGACGGGCGACCCATTTGACGTAGGTGTTTGTTGACTTTTGAAGTCTCTCCATTCCTAGAGCAAAACAGTATTAACAACTCGTTGGCGAACCGGCTGTCTGCAGAGAGGCTTGACCTACCGTCATATCGCAATTGCATCTCCATTTCCAAGTTCTTGAATTCGTCCGTCTGTCCCGTCTTGGATTCGGATCCCATCTTTTCGCCGGCCCATTGGAAGGCGCGGTCGAATTTCTTGGTGAAGTTCATCTTGGCGGCGGGAATATGGTATGTGCTGGGAGGGGCTGTCGGGAAGCTCTGCGAGAGTGGAGGGTTTCGATTAAGGGGGTCAAGGTTCTTCGACGGTCGACGTAGTAATTAGGGTGACAAGTTGAAGGTAAGATCGGTCGATGCCAGCATTCAACGGGTTATTGCAGAGAAAGACGAACGGGGCGGATTGGCAAATGTCGTTGCGAGAATCGTTAAGGTGTGAGATGTGTTGAGCGAGCGAGTGGACAGTGTATGACGAAAGATGGAGGATGGATCGGGTTGAGAGAGTGAGCGCAAGACGTGGTCTTGAAAGCAGATGAAAAGAAGAAGAGAGTGATGGAAAGGGAGCAGTGGCAAAAAGATATCAGACACGGTCGATAATGCAAGGAGCAGGGATGAAGAGATGTGCCGTCAAGCGGAAGAAGCAGGTGAAGAAGGAGGGCCGTGGAAGGGGTGGAAGGGGGTGTGTGTGGAGGGAGCTGTGCTTCCTACAGACAGACAGACACTGCTGGAGGGATGGGTTAATAGAAGATGATTTCACCCAAAACGGGACGAGGAGGAGCGAACGGTGGAATCGGTGGATGGATCAATAGTCTCCGTACGGTTTGATGTACGGGGTATACAATAAACCGTCTAGGTATGAACGTCAAGAAACGAGAGGAAGGTGCGGGCTATGCAGCAAAGGTTATTTGGCAGTTTCGCAGCCGTACTGTGCAAGATACGACTACTCCGTACACTACAGATACCTTACAGATAGAATAGAGCAGGGCGAGGTAAGGTAAGGCATGCGTGGCAGAAAATGCGTAACTGTCCTGATGGGCGTCTCAATGCTCCTGTCTGTCTGGTGGAGTGTCACGGTGCGCGTGTGTGTGTGGTGGGTAGTTTTACTGAGGTGGTCTTGCTGTTAGGTCTGTTGCGGGAGGTGGGTTTTGGAGGCGAGCTAAGGCGTGAGCTAAGGCATGCAGGTACGTATCGAGTGGGGTGGTCGGGTGTCACTCCCCGGGAGGGAAGGGAAGGACTGGAAAGCTTGGGGGGGAGGGGGAGGCAGGAGGGAAGGGGACCACTGGGATGTCGAGAGCGGAGAGCACGAGACTGGACGTCGCGGCAAGGTCGGTGGCCAACCTCAGTCGATTAAGGTAAAGTAGCAAGTAGGTAGAGGGACACGTCCGTATTCCAATTCAGAGTTTATAAAACGTATTTCACCCTTACTTGGTACGGATACCTTTGAAATTCAAAGCTTGAACATAGCAGTGATTTCATAGGCTGGGTGAGTGCCCTTATTGCCCATATTTCCTATCACTAGATTCGGATTCGCACATGGAGCCACCACGCCTCACAGTACTTCGTACACGAGTTGTTTGTTTCCCAGTTCCTTCCCTGTCCCATCAAGCCATGCTACCATGCATCCTTAGTTCCTTACCTTTCCACGACTGACTGGGAAGGGAATCTGGGACACCAAAAAACATGGTGATCCGCTGGGGGAGCATGGCACAGGGGTGGGCCAGAAAATGGAAATGGAAGGGACCACACTCAACCGCCGAGGGGCGAGGGGGTCGGGTAGGAAGTGGTCCCACTCTCTCAGGTTCGAGAATGGAAAGAGATTGGAGGCGGGGTATTCGTAAGTACCTTACCTTCCAAAGTGACCTGGCCGTGGCACCGGGGGCACTAGAAAATTCGGGTTGGGAAGGAAAGCAGTTGGCCTTCCCAAGAAAACGGGTAGATACTCTCAATCAAGCCATGGATACGTGCGAGATGTAGGTACTTCGTACTGCATCTTTGCCAATACCTCACCGGCCAGGGGAAGACGAGAGACAATGGTCGATAGATATTATTCACATCAAGTACCTATCATCGAAAGTGTTTTCTCAATTCTGCAATAGCCTTGTTACCAAATTGGTCCAGAACAAGGCAAGGTAGCACGAGCAGGACGAGCAAGGCCTGGATCGTGGCATGTGCATTCACTAATGCACACCCCGTCTTCGAATCATAAGCTTGCAGGTTTTCTCGGCGGTTTGTTGGCTATTGGAGATGGCGTTGGGTGGTTGGCCACCGCCAGGCTGGTTGGCAGCTGCAACCCGCACCGTCGAATCTGGAAATTCTGCACCAATCTATCCCGACTCCCAACACTGCTGCTGCACCCTGGCAATGGAACTTGGCGGGGAGAGTGATTGCATCCGGCTGCAGTGCTGCACGAGGTGGTGGAGGCATTTATGATTTAACCGTACCTTACGGACAGTCATGACATTGTACCTTAGGTACGGAGTATGTAAATTGGAAGACGGTTCAACCAGGTAGGTATCTTTTTGACACCGGCAGTCCTCCCAGTCCCATGTCGTCCTATGCCATTAATATGAAGGGAGTCGAGGGGGGCCACGATGTGGGGAGGTCTTGAATTGCGTGTCACTATCAGTAACTTGGCCAGTGGAGGCATCAAATCCGAGGGAGGAGGGGCCAGCAGTTGAGGATGCAATTGAGGTGCCTTCCCTTGACCTTTTAGGTACTCCGTATCCGTACTGACCTCCAGGCTCCAGGTAGCAAAAGAACCAGTTATTAAGCAAGCAAAGCAAGGTACCTTAAGCACGTACGGATTAGGTCGGGCCTTCCGCACA